GCCGGCGAAGTCCGCACGAAAGGCTCACAAATGTAGTCGTCTGTCACGGCGAAATGGAAGAAATGTTATGACATTAACAACTAAATATTTACTTACATCAGGACTAACAGTTTATACGTACATGAACCTTGAAATATGTGCTTTATGCAGTAGGTTTTAATGTTATTCTATGCATCATACGTACTCAAAACTACTCTTATATTGATCAGGGCTGTATTTGCTCATAATGGGCCCGGCTACACGGGCAAGTAATATTTAACTGATTGATAAATATTCTCGAGTTGGTTCTATCTGAAATGTTTACGAGCCCCGGGACATGCATTTCTTATGTCTTATCGTTAAAACTGTCGGTCCCCGTGCTCTAACCTATATATAAACTAAGTAAGTGTATGAGTGCTGCTACATGTGACAGTCAACACTATTTTGACAGCTTGGAGACCTCCTCTAACCCGGATCTTCACGGGTACAACATGTAAGTAATACAGCCCGGATAATGGTACAGGGTGAAAGTATACAGTGATACACAATCAGCCAGGTTAAACATTGCTTACACCGGATCAATCCCCGGACGCGTCATACCAAAAGACGTTAAAAGATGGTACTTGTTGTTACCCTGTCTAGGTCTTGGATCAAATAAGGACTGGTCGGCTCTGAGCAAGTATACTGTGCCTGAGAGGGGTATGTTGATCTGCGGCATGGTATATCAGTGGGCTAGCATCCCTTTTGAAAACAAAATGTAGTAAGTTGTAGACAATCCCCCAATCCCTCACTGAGTGAGGATTTAGATATTTCAAAAAAAAGGGGCCCCCTCTTGTCAGGATCCACTGATCTGGGCGTGAAATATAATATAATATTCGTCCCGATTATGATTCGTCAAAACCACGGCGGAGTCACTTCAATGGAAATTTGTATGTACTATAATTTGTTATGCCACCTCATTACATTTATATCAGATTTAATTAATTTTGTCCAAATCATCACATAAAACTTTAAATTTGACACAGTGACACAACTCACAAATGTTTCTTCGTTAGATGATATTTCCTTGCACCAAATAACTTTTCTTTTCTGCAGTTTTTATGAGTCACTAAAGTAGTGACTTAAGGAAGTCGCGCGTTCATCCAAACAAAGCTTTGTTGCTTGTTGAGTAGAGTAAAATATCATTCATCAGAGTAACCTATTTCCATAAAGATGGAGCCTTGATGATCAAACACGCCCGACTCAGGACCACTTGGATATAACGAACTGAGAAAGAGAAGGACGAATTGCAGTTGAGACTTAATTAACCGGAATAAAAGACAGTACAGGTACCAAATACACCAGGAAGCATTTACACTTACACACCATTACATTACTTTATTCATTTAAGTTTCAGTCATAGAGAAACCTGAATGAAAACGGGCTGTTTGTAAATTACATCAACAGAGCTGCTTTTACGTCACTTCGGGCAGTCTAGATTACGGCCGGAGTTGCTTCCCTTTACATACACCCTCGTTTACATCCTTCTGTTGACTCTTGCAAAGCTGCTTGTCTGTTTGATTTTTCATGTTTGATGTCACCCACTAATACATTTAAATTGGTGCATTTGAGCCTTAATAAAAGACAGGGTTAAAGTTCCCCGTGTTACGCTAATGATTCGTAACGATTTAAAATACAATCTTGTTATAATAAAAATCATGCAGTATCTTTGTCAGTATACAATGAACAACCCATGCTTGCCGTAAGGCGACTAACGGGGTTGGGTGGTCAGATCCGTTGACTTGGTTGATGCTTGTCATCGATCCCAATTGCGTGGATCGACGTTCATGATATCCAGCACTGGATTGTCTGGTCCAGACTCGATTATTTACAGACCGCCGTCATATAGCTTATGAAACAAACAAACAAACAAACAAACAGTATACAATAAAAGGAAATCATCAACTAATACAAGATAATTCGTGTGCACTACATTTCTCTCCATTTATGGGTGTATTAGTATTTAGTGTCGCTTCCTCAATAGTTCGAGTGTGATTGCCGAGTAAGTATTAAAGAGTGTATTGTTTGACGAAAGGACGCACTGGCACTAACAAACACCCGAGCATATATCACACATATATGTGACTTTGCTTTCACAGCAAAATGACACGACCCATACATATATTCAATAATTAAACTCCAAAATTGAACGTGTTTATTTTGAAATACAATTGAGAATCATATATCATTCGGTTAGATCAACTAGCAATATTTAGAGTTTACATATCGTTCCCGGTTCGTTATCTGCTCAGTTTGCATTTAGAAGCCATTGATTCATGGCTTCCATTTGCTTTTCAAATATATTTAGTGATCAGTGTCCGCCTTAAATCTTACAGATCAATAGATCAATGAACACGTGTCTATTAGAAATCTAAACTACACTGTCGAAGCCTAACTGATTAAATGATTGAGTGACGTTCAATTCCGCAATCAGCAGTATTCCAGCCATACTATGGCGGCCTATACAAAGTCATTACCTGGGCCAGATAATCCAGTGACTGGAAACACGAGCAACGATCATCAGCATCCGGGCAGGATAACACATCATCATCCCGGCACAGAGTCTGGTCCCCTTTAGATGTCCAGTACGACAAGTATGGGGATCTGGAGGCCTATTCTCCACCGTATCCTCATGGGTAGGCAAATGAAATATAAGTCAATTAATATGTTCAAAATTTATCATCTCAACCTGTTCCACATCATATCACTGAACATAACACGGCTGATCCGATTCGTATATACATAACCATTCGCCGGTGTTCTTCTAATTACAACGAGCAGATATAGAGGCCGCATACCGTTCGATAGACAGATGGGCCGTTCTTGTCAGAACAAGTCTCTATGAGGACAAACGGAATTCAGTTAAGATGAAAGATATCCTTGAAGTTGAGATCGCGAGAACGCGAGATTTTGGCCAACATATTGACGACATATTGTCGAGGAGACGCTAAATACTAACGCACCCACTGGTTTGGGAGATAAAGTGCGCATGACTTTGTCAGTTAATTATGGAATACTGTAAGGGACATTCTCGCGATCTCGCATTCTCGTGTTTTGGGCATATTTACCTCGTTTCCAAAGGTCGAAATCGCGAAAATGCGAGATCGCGAGAATGTCCCTTACAGTATTGGTTGGTTTGTTGTTAAACGCCGCACTAAGCAATATTCCAGCTATATGACGGCGGTCTGTAAATAATCGAGTCTGGACCAGAAAATCCAGTGATCAATATCATGAGCATCGATCCACGCAATTGGGATCGATGACATGCATCAACCAAGTCAGCGAGCCTGACCACCCGATCCCGTTAGTCGCCTTTTACGACAAGCAAAGTCGCCTTTTACGGCAAGCATGGGTTGCTGAAGACCTATTCTACCCCGGGTCTTCATGTCATACAATATGTGGTGAGTAGAGCAAATAGTATAACTGACAGTAGCGTTGAACAATATTCTCACACTCGCTCATTTTCAGAATCCTATGCTCAAATGTAAGATAAAACATCAGTGCTGTGTTTCCAACGTATAAGTTATAGTCATTACCATTAAGGTTGGCTATTGATATACTGTGGACGTCAAAGGCATAAGCTATGTCAGGAATTGGACATGTTATCGGAAGTGATATATGGCCCGTCAGCGGTTCATATTTTATTACTGGCTACTCAGAATGAGAGAATGATGCTTCACGTTTTGAACCAAATTGTAAAACAAGCGGATGATAACATTGACACTTCCGTCAAGCTAGGGTATAAAACACACCAGGCTTCTACTGTACCATGCTTACCCAGCCCAGTGATCATGATGCGTTGTATGTTTGTGCTGGCGTTGTTTGTTGTTGCTGCCTCTGCCTCCAGTAGCCCTGCAGTACACAACAGACCGAGTACCAATTTAGATGGTTTGTTCACCGCCATGCTTCGACTGGAACGCACTGTAGCTATGATGTCAACAAAACTGAAGGCCATAGAATCACGTCAACAGAGGAGTGAAAGGAAGATGTTATCAATGACATCTAATCTTCAAGGCAAAGACGAACTGCTCGCGAACATTACAAGAGCTCTAGTCGCATCAGGTTAAGAATCAATGAAATTCGCTCTACGGGACAAAGATGCACTGCTGACCAATGTTACATGATCACTTAATTACAGAAATGTTGACCCGATAGAATCACAAAACTCATCTCCAATGAGAGTTCAATTTATAAGCTGAGGAAATTACATGTGGCTTACATAAACTCTCGTTCTTGAGACTGAGGTATGTTTCCTTCTTATACTCCTCATAAAGTCTCAGATAATAATATATGTTGTAGCAGTATCAAGACGGGTACATGTGGGTTGTATGCTTCCTGAGTTAGGTATAAAACCTAACGAGGGACGCATATATGGACATTGGTGATAAACGTTAACTTATTATAACACCACGGCCGAAAACATGGCTATATATCCTGTTTTTTCTTATGCACATTCATTGTTCATTCATATTTAGTTATGTATGTATGTATGTATGTATGTATGTTTGTTTGTTGTTTAACGCCGCCCTCAGCAATATTCCAGCTATATGGCAGCAGTCTGTAAATACTCGAGTCTGGACCAGACAATCCAGTGACTATGACATCATGAGCATCGATCCACGCAATTGGGATACGATGTATTGCATCAACCAAGTCAGCGAACCTGACCACATGATCCCGTTAGTCGCCTCTTACGACAAGCATAGTCGCTTTTACAGCAAGCATGGGTTGCTGAAAACCTATTCTTACACGGATCCAACACAGCTGGTATGTCGATGATTGCGGCGTTAAATAATATTCTCACACTCATTGATTGCAAAGATCCAATATCAGCTCAGATGGAGGAGAAAAAAATCCGTACCTGATAGATGTCCCGCCAGCTGTTCATATTTTGATGCTGACCACGCAGAAAGAGATCATGATGCCTGGTGGATGATAATCAATATTTACATTGACACTTCCGTCAAGCTAGGGTATAAAACACACCGAGCTTTAACTTTATCACGCTTACCCAGCCCAGTGATCATGATGCGTTGTATGTTTGTGCTGGCGTTGTTTGTTGTTGCTGCCTCTGCCTCCAGCAGCCCTACAGTACACAACAGACCAAATACCAATTTACATGTTTTGTTCACCGCCATGCTTCGACTGGAACGCACTGTAGCTGTGATGTCAACAAAACTGAAGGCCTTAGAATCACGTCAACAGAGGAGTGAAAGGAAGATTTTATCAATGACATCTAATCTTCAAGGCAAAGACGCACTGCTCGCCAAAATTACAAGAGCTCTCGGTAAGTATAGACTTACCAGTCCGTCGCATCAGGTTAAGAATCGGAAAGTGTTTTTTATAGTATGTTAACCGCCATGCTTCTACTGGAACGCTCCGTAACTGTTATGTCAATAAAACTGAAGGCCATAGACTCACGTCAAGAGAGGAGTGAAAGGAAGATTGGTAAGTACTGAATGTTGACCCGTTAGAATCACCGAACTTATCTCCCATGATCGTAAGATTTATAAACTGAGGAAATTCCATACCCTCGTTCTTGAGAGGTTGATAACCCTACTTGTTTCACCATACATTAAACTACTAGCTTCTGATTGGTTAAGGAACGGGCAATTAATCAACATGTCGCCCGCTCATATACCCCCTGAGAAGTCACTTAGAACACACCTAAGGTTACTTGCTTGTCTCGCATAAATATCGTTGACCTGAAATGAACCGGCGTTTATCCGAATGCATTGGGTAAAAGGAAGTGATTCGGTTTGCCTCGTCTGCTAGCTGTGAAAATGGCTGAATCAAAACGTTTTACTCGGTAAATATAATATAAGTTGTCAACCGATCACTCGGGGCATATAGTGTGATGTACCCCGAGCCGTCAGGGTTGCCCTATATGCCCCTTAAGCTTAAGATCGGTTGACAACGTATATTATATTCCTCATCAAATCACAGTTCTTTTCTAATATGTACGGTGTATGGACTGTGATAAACGTTTTATAACGTCCGAAGAAACGGTCTCTGGATTTAGTGTGTGAGTGAGTGAGTGAGTGAGTTGGGTTTAACACCGCTTTTAACAGTATTACAGTAATATCGCGGCGTGTCAGCTTAATGTGACAGGAAAGCCCGAAGTGATGCAGGTCTCAGACGTTTACCACTTCGGTGAAACCCACGAGCACGGGTATGGTGCTGACAAACCTAGAAACACAATCGTGGTGAACCGGGATTAGAACCCACAATCATTGGTTTTTGGCGTGCCCAAGGGACGCAACTCTGCACAGCGAATCACGGCGCCTCAGACGACTGGGCCACCCGTGCCCCCTCTGGATTTAGACATAGCCATATCAGTTGTGTTATCTTTTGAACACTAATTGTTAAAGTATTTGTTATTACGCATGTGATACTATGGTGAACGTTCGTACATGAATCAATCATAGCATAACCATTGTTACTAAACCGTTTGATTCAAATGTTCATTTTTTCGAATAGGTCTGAAAGATAATCTGAAAATGTCTGATCTGAAATGTCGTTACGGTACATCTCCAAAAGTGATCATTATATTCCCACATTCACATAATTAACCCATGTTATGTCAACCTGGCAGTAAATGACTTCTCTTAACACAGCGATGGTGACTCATTTGAACAAATAGTACCTATCATAATCTCCAGTAAATCCTATTGACAGAATCATTTCATTCAATTTAATAATAATAGAGCGGTAATACTACATCGCAATATATACATACATATTTTCAATTTTTTTAAAAACTAAAGGAACGGACGTGGCGTACAGCGTTTCCCTTCCGTCAGACATCAACCAAATTGGAGGAAAGCCTTTGAAATTTGACACCGTCTCATATAACAAGGGGAATGCTTATAACAAGGCTACTGGCATATTCACGGCCCCCGTTTCTGGCACATACCTCTTCTGGGCAAATGTGATGGTAACATCTGTCGCCCACATGATTCTCCGCATCTACAGAGGAAGCTCGGTGATTGCTCGTGGTTATATCACTTGGAAGCAATATGGCGTAGCATCCATCACCACTACCACACACTTGAACCAAGGAGACCAGGTCTGGATGGATGCTTATGACAGCCCAACAGCAACCATTCCGTTGAAAGGACAGGCATTTTCAAGTTATGGAGGAATGCTCACACACGTCAATTAATGAAGCTGGCATTCCAATGCCATTGCAGTGTACACTGATGCTCAAACATGAATAAACATACCACATGAAGGTGTTTTTTCTGACTTCTGATCATTAATACTATTATAATAGTGAGTGAGTGAGGTTTGTTTGTTTGCCGCACTCAGCAATTTTGCAGCTATACGACGGCGGTCTGGACCAGACAATCCAGTGATTAACATCATGAGCATCGATCCACGCAATTGGGATGCGATGACATGCATCAACCAAGTCAGTGAGCGTGACCACCCGATCCTGTTGGTCACCTCTTACGACAAGCATAGTCTTCTTTTATGGCAAGCATTGGTTGCTGAACACCTATTCTAACCCGGATCTTCATGGCTGAGCACAGAAGTGGAAAGAGTGATTTTAACGTTTCAGTAAACAGTATTGTTATATTCTTATGGTATTAGAGGAAAGTACGTTTTCTGTGGAATACTAGAAGGGACATTGTCGCGTTGTCGCATTGTCGTTTTGTCGACCTTCCAAAAACAAGCAAAAAGGTGTCAAAATTAGCCAATTTATTGTGACAATGCGACAATGGGACATTTTTCAAGGTCAAAATATGTCGCGTTGTCGTATTGTCGCCTCATACAAAATGTGTGAAGAAGGCGTTAAAATGCGCGACAACGCGACCTACGACATTGCAACATTTTGATAATGTCGCATTGTCACGTTGTCGCCCTATTCGATTAATGGCGCGCATGCGCATTATCAGTTTGAGAAATGCAAACCATATTGTCATTGCTACTCTGGTTTTAGAACCATTGGAACTAACTAAAGACCACTGGAATGTCGCAATGTCGCATCGTTGCGCATTTTAACGCCTTCTTCACACTTTTTTAATGAGACGACAATGCGACAACGCTAAATATTTTGACCTTGAAAAAATGTCGCTTTGTCGCAATGTCGCGTTTTGATAAATCAAAAAGATTATGTAAAACGCGACAATACGACAACGCGACATTTTTTCAAGGTCAAAATATGTCGGTTGTCGCATTGTGGCCAAAAGATCGTGTTTTGACACTTTTTGCTTGTTTTTTTAAGGGCGACAATGCGACAATGTGTGAAGTCAATTTCATATGCTACGAGGCGACACACAATTAGGAATAGATATTAGATTCCGTCAACGGCTCAGGAATTGACACGACGAAACACCTAATTTATGTCAAATATATATGTTCCCCGAAGCAGGCCGTCTCTCACTGTTAATAGCCACCTGTTACGGTACGTTTGGCATACCCCTCAGAAAGGGAAAATGTGGAGTCATGTCAACTGGCTCTGTCTGGCAAGCACATTGTGGTGGAAATAAAACTTTTTTCCTTTGTCTTTGACCCTGCATTAACTACCGGAGTACATCGATAGTTAAACACCACTTAGCAGTGACGGAGTTTCTTTCTTTCCGTACCGTTTCCCTTGATGACACAACAATTTCACGAAAAAAGTGTGTCGCCAGCGGTATTCGAGCCGGCGAAGTCCGCACGAAAGGCTCACAAATGTAGTCGTCTGTCACGGCGACATGGAAGAAATGTTATAACATTAACAACTAAATATATATTTACTTACATCAGGACTTATAGTTTATACGTTCATGAACCGTGAAATATGTGCTTTATGCAGTAGGTTTTAATGTTATTCTATGCATCATACGTACGTGTGATTTGGTGGCTGTTCCCCTAAATAAATAAACAGATAGAAAGAAACTACTCTTATATTGATCAGGGCTGTATTTGCTCATAATGGGCCAGGCTAGACGGGCAAGTAATATTTAACTGATTGATAAATATTCTCGAGTTGGTCCTATCTGAAATGTTTACGAGCCCCGGGACATGCATTTCATAACCCGAATCGCCAAAGAGCGAGATGCACGTGTGAAAGACCCAGGGAACATACTTCACGTGCATCAGAGTTTTAGCATAGAGTTCTTGAATATGTTTTGAAATACGCCTATGAAAACACTGCTGTTTCAGCATTTTTGTACCAGGGTTCTCTGAATGTTGGCCATGGTTCAAATAGGTTAGAGGACTCGAAACATGGTTTCTTATCGTTAAAACTGTTGGTCACCCGGTTCCCGTGCTCTAACCTATATATAAACTAAGTAAGTGTATGAGTGCTGCTACAGGTGACAGTCAACACTATTTTGACAGCTTGGAGACGTCTTCTAACCCGGATCTTCACGGGTACAACATGTAAGTGATACAGCCCGGATAATGGTGCAGGGTGTAAGTATACAGTGATACACAATCAGCCAGGTTAAACATTGCTTACACCGGATGAATCCCTGGACGCGTCATACTAAAAGACGTTAAAAGATGGTACTTGTTGTTACCCTGTCTGGGTCTGGGATAAAATAAGGACTGGTCGGCTCTGAGTCAGTATACTGTGCCTGAGTGGGGTATTCATGTTGATCTGCGGCATGGTATATCAGTGGGCTTGCATCCTTTTTGAAAACGAAATGTAGTAAGTTGTAGACAATCCCCCCACCCCTCACTGAGTGAGGATTTAGATATTTAAAAAAAAATATGCTGGACCCGCCCTTGTCAGGGTCCATTGATCTAGGCGTGAAATATAATATAATATTCGTCCCGATCATGATTCGTCAAAACCACGGCGGAGTCACTTCAATGGAAATTTGTATGTACTATAATTTGTTATGCCACCTCATTACATTTATATCAGATTTAATTTATTCTGTCAGCATCATCACATAAAACTTTGAATTTGACACAGTGACACAACTCACAACTGTTCCTTCGTTAGATGATAGTTCCTTGCACCAAATAACCTTTCTTTACTGCGGTCTAACACTTTTTATGAGTTATTAAAGTTGTGACTCAAGGAAGTCACTCGTTCATCCAGACAAAGCTTTGTCGCTGGTTGAGTGGAGTAAAATACCATTCATCAGAGTAACCTATTTCCAAAAGATGGAGCCTTGATGCATTCGTGACCAACTCGTGTTATTCCGGGACAAGCCGAATAGCGAATCGTGCCCTTCTCATGGCCGGGTTCCGTCTTAGCGTAATGGTTCTCACATTTTCCCCATATATTATATATATTTCAGATGCAATTTAAAGCACGTCGGGACGTGCGGAATTATAAAGTATGATTGAACACATTTAACCATGTCTTTGGTATATTCTGAGATGCAAGACATATGTAAAATCAAAAATTATTTCTGAGGGATTTTTTTACAAAGAACTTAAAATTATACGCGCATTCTGGTTTGTCGTATTTTCGCACATGGATTTAGGGGGACGAGTCTTCTTGCAGGTTACGGAAAGGGGCGAGTGGGGACGAATGACCTTGATGATCAAAACACGTCCGATTCAAGACCAGTTGGCTATATCGAACTGAAAAAGTGAAGAACGAAATTGTAGTTGAGACTTAACTAACCCGAATAAAAGACAGTACAAGTGCCAAATACACCAGGAAGCATTAACACTTACACACCATTACATTATTTTACTCATTCAAGTTTCAGCCATCGAGAAACCTGAATGAAACAGGCCGTTTATATTATACTCAACAACAAAAGTTTCGGTGACACCAATATTTTAGTGAATTTTTCAAACAAGTAAAGTTTGGTTTTCAATACTGTAGTACATGTATGGAATCAAGTCACAAAAACGCAACTGCTACAGAAAAGCGTGCATTCCATGCAAAAGTTGACTTTTATGCAAGCCCCATGTATTTCACTACCCAAGAATGGGTATAAAAACATGTGCGTTAACGGGATTTCATGTGCATTGTTTAGCATCGTGCTGACAACAACCACTCAGAAAAACAACAAAATTACGCAATTATTCAACATTACGAAATGCCACGCCTGTCCGAAAATGAGCGTCTGCTAGTGATTGGTATGCTTGAAGCAGGATCGAGTCAACGTATGTTGCAAGACAATTTAACGTCCACAGAAACACCATTTGGTGCTTATGGCAACGTTGGCAACAGACGGAGCAGTCAAAGACCATCCTCGGAGTGGAAGGCCACGCGTAACCAATGATCGACAAGAAAACTGGATTCGAACAACACACCTACGAAATCGATTCCAGCCAGCAACAGTGACTGTATTCCTGGCCTCCGACGAATATCTTTACAAACTGTACGTCGCCGCCTCAGATGTGCAGGGATTGTCGCCAGAAGACCCCCCAGAAGTCCTCTTTTGACAGGAAACCACCGTCAAGCACGTCTACAGTGGTGCAGACAGCATCTACGCTGGACGGCCATGCAGTGGAGACAAGTTCTATTCACCTCAGCCACAGCGAAGGACGGATTCGACTGTACCGACGTCGAGGCGAACGTTACGTCAATCAGTGTGTCATGGAAGAAGATCGGTTCGGGGGCGGCAGTGTTATGGTATGGGGTGGGATTACAGCAAGACAGAGGACCCGTTTGATAGTTGTAGAGGGAAATCTCAATGGACAGCGCCACCGCGACGAGATCATCGGCCCTGTTTATCTACCGTTTTTGCGTCGTCATGCCCCAGGCATTACCTTTCAACATGACAACGCCCGGCCTCATATTGCTCGACTTGTTCAGGATTCTCTTCAACAAACCAACGTGAATGCCATCCCCTGGTCGGCTCGCTCCCCTGATCGCTCACTTATCGAGCACATGTGGGATGAGATGGATCGGTGCCTTCGACGTCAACCACCTGTTCCACAGACACTCCATGAACTTCGAAACATGATCCAGCAGATATGGACAGATGTCCCAAAGGACTTTGTGCGACGCCTGGTCCATTCCATGAGACGAAGATGTGTTGCTTGCATCGCAACCAGAGTTGGACACACACGCTATTGATTTGTAAATTGACATTTTTCATGTTCATATTTTTTAAAAATGAAATCACGCATTTTCTGAAGTCAGTATGGCAAATTAAACCATTAGCACACTTAAAGGAGTCTTTTATCTGTTGTAAACCGAAATTGTTTCAGATTTGGTAAAAAACATAACTTCGCATTAAATCTTATTCAATGTCACAGGAACTTTTGTTGTTCAGTATATATTAAGATCACACAAGCAAACAAACAGATAAACAAAGCAAATCC